CATGGTTAACCCGCCAATATCACAGAGTGACAACACTCTGTCAACTACAATACTCTTCATTACCTTTTCTTCATAACATAGGGGAAGTTTATTCTATAGTTCATAGGGATATCTGGAAACTAACTGTTAAGAGTGTAGCACAGGCATGGAGAGCAGGGAGCTATCAGCTCACAAGATTTCTGGCAGGATCAACAGTTTTTGTTTCGCACTTATTAAACAGATATAATAAACACTTTCAATTGTATGTAACAGACCAAAAGGGAACAAATAAGAGAAGTTACTTTTTAAGGGTTTACATACACTTTCAATCATCCACCGGTGTCTAGGTCAGCCTACACAGTCACTACTGAATTCCTTTAAAGGGAAACTGTTACTTTGCCCACCCACCTATATTCATCTTTGCCTTGTTCCCCCACTACTCTGTATGTCCATCAGAGCCCTCCAAAATACCCATTACTTCCAGGTGTGAGGGAGCAGTAACCTTGTCCTCTTTCTCCCAGGATGCAGCTCTCGGACCTGAGTTACCAGTTGCTAGGCCTGAACACTGTAATGTAGGGGTGAGGAGCAGGTCAATAACCCTGCGTAAGTTACGACACTGATCTATATGGAGCTTCAACAGGGTTTAGACTCATAGCTCTCTGATGGATAAACAAACCTGCTGAGGAGCAAGACATAGGTGAGTATTGGTGGAAGGGAATTTTAGGAGAACTTTACTCTGAATGGACAAGTGAAAGCTTTCCCGAGGAGGAAACGGATTACTTGTTCCAAATGATCATATCGCTTTCCCATCCAACATATAATGTACAGTGAATTCTGACTTCTCTCCATGGTGCTGGCCTAACGCCTCCCAATCAGGAGAGGATAATGTGCAGCCAGCTATAATGATCCAACAGTGCATAAAAATCTTGTTTAGTGTGTTTAAATGTATACATTTAAGAAGTGCACAATTATTTTTACCAAGTGATTATCTTAAAACAGCGTGGTGCTTTATGAGAGCACAGCTTCATGAACTGAAAGATTTAACTCATTTACCACTTCTGTTCTACATAAAAGATCTACAGCTTGCAGCATTTCTGTGCCATTTATATAATGCACTAGACACATTGCTGAAACTTATTATTTCTGAAGAACAGGCGCTGGTAGATTACTTAAGTAGCCTACAAAATACACTCATAACAATGCTAAAAATGTGTCTGTTCTTGAGTCACTTTCTCTCTCTCTGTTATCGATGGCTCTACATTTCAGCCTCACCAACAAACATCTTTCTGCTGCTAATGCCCCTTCTTCTGGCTAAGAAAATGAACTTACTGCTTTCCAAAAATGTTAGTTTTTTTGTCAAGACATTCTAATGCAACTTTTCTTCTTTGCAGGGCAGCACCATGTGTCTGTGACCAGTTTGCTTGTTTGTCATGGTCTACTAATGGTCGGTACAAACCTCGGTGTTATTGTAGCATTCCCAGTTCCCCGCCTGCAAGGAATTCCCAAAGTAACTGGTATGTTTTGTGTGCAAATCCATGAAATAATGTGTAATATGCTTTGTTGTTTTCACTTTCCACCAAAAGTTTTTATATCCTAGTTCTGAATGCAGGTTTTCAAGGTTGATGGCATTTATTAGGGTTAAGTGAATCAACATGGAAATCAATGAATCAATCCATAGGTGAATCAAAGGCTGGCCATAGATGAGCCAATTTTGAGAAGACTTTACAAAGATTATTTTAATATTCACAAGCTGACCAAACACAATTCAGTGTACAAATGACAAATCCAACTTGCTGGATAATCATTTAGCAATTGCAGTCTAAAAAATATCTACTACGAAGGAAAATTTTAATGAAAAATATTGTTTGAAAATTATAGGAATATTAACTACGGTAACTCTTTAAAATATACAACTTCCCATTAATGAACAGCCTAAATTTGTACATGGGAATTGTATTTTGCTAAACCCAACTCCGGCCAGAGGGGAGAGGGTTAGAACCTCAAGATTCTGTTGCTGTCAACCGACATGCTGGAGTCAGTCTGCATCTCATACACTATAGTCAGATTGCTTGCATTGATTGTTAAATACAGATACAAAGCTGTGTGAAAAAAATGAAGCAGCCAACAAATTTCAGATTTTGTTTTCCCAATGCAGGTTCTATTAACACCTGATTACTGTGAACTGCTGCTACCTTATTCTCCCAACACTATGGCAATGTTAAAAAATGTATTAAAGATTAATAATAATAATAATAATAATAAAAATAATTCATCAGTTTAATAGATATTCAGTAAATCAAACAGCAATGTATCAGGTGAATTGCCTTACAACAAGCAATCTAAACTATCACCTCAGTTATCTGACTTCAGTTAAGGCAGAAGCAGTAAAGTCAAGTTACTGATACACTGTGTTGGTTTATTTCCAGAGACAGTGCATCCATCTAACAGACAGTAATGCCATATTTCCAGGAATAGAAGGACATGTGTCAAGAGACAATGGATGCATGCTTTTAGAAAGACTCTTCTAACCCTTCTACACTCTGCAACTGTGTCAAGAGGGAATGTGGTCACGCTTGTAGAAACACTCTTCTAACCCTTCACTCTGTGACATGTGTCAAGGGACAATGGGGCCTCGCTTCTAGAAACACTCTTTTACCCTTCTTCACTTCTCCACTCTTCAACCTTGTCAAGCGACAATGCTTCTAGAAACACTCTTCATAGAAACATTTTTAGGTCACGCTTTTAGAAACACTATTCCACTCCACCACAAGTGTTTTTAATTGGTGTCTGTTTTCATTACTCCTCACTTCTTTCCCATGTGGCACCAGAACAGTAAATGATGGGAAATCTCCCCAAAAGGAACTCGGACAATAATAAAAGCCTGGCATAGGTTATACATCTTCCCTACTCTTAAAAAAATAAAGATTTAAATACACTTATATATAAACTGAAAGAGATAACTTTAGAAAAGAAAAAGAGGTAAAAGAAGAAATCAAGAGGAACAGGTCTTGCTATCTGCCGTCTCTGACCAGGGCTCCAAGAAGCTAACAAAAAGGGTCTTCCAAAGCATCCCCTTATCAATATCCCTCCCTCACCCCACCTCTCTTAAGAGGCTCAGGAAAATCCAAGGTTATTTAAATCTATTTACACGGTTAGAATTTAATTCAAAAGCAGGTTGTCAATACACTAAATTCTAACAGTGAATGTGGATTTTGTGCAGGAAACTCCATTCATTCCAAAGTCAAATTTTAAACGACATTTGTTAAGTCTCTGATGGCAATTTTGAAGGTTTTTTTGTGATTTGAGATGAGATTTTTCATATAGAAGTACCTACAAAAATCTATCAGTGTATGGCCAGCTTTAGGGCTGTATAGCTCTAACACAGACTCTTTGTTTATCTTCAGACCTGCTTGCAGATAACCCTGGCAAGTTTCATGTAATCTCTTTATTTTTCTTGCTGCTCAGACCTTTGAAAACCTGATGATCTTGCTAGTTTCACATCATGTCATTGTTTTGTTTTGCTCTGTTTCAGCCCAGTCAAGCTGGTTTTATTTTCTTGATAAATGTGTCCTTTTATGTGTCATTTCTAACTCTGCTTTGAATGGCAAAAAGCACAAAAGGATCAGTATAGTGTCCTAAAAATGTATTTGTAGCCAATACTTTTTTTTTAAATAAGATTCGGAAAGTGTATGAAAGGGTTAGCAATTCTGTTAGATTTTTTTATCCCATCTGCTGAGATTTACCATCTCTATTTGCCTTTGTGACCATTGTCACCAGGACAAAAAGACATTGGTAATCCAAAACTGTACAGTTGCCGGCAGAACAGGAGGTGAGTAGAATGAGTCCAACGGGTCACCAGTGACATCTACTGTAAGTGGAAATTTCCCTTTCGTTTAAGAGAGATTTCCTGTTCTCTGGGAGTTAAGAAAAACAACCGAAATGGACACAGCAAAAAAAATACATCAGGTTTGAAGGCTAACTCCACTCAAAAACTTCCTACCATCCCTATTAGGCCTGGTTCACATCTGAGCGTTCTCGGGCCACTCGTCCTGGTAACACACAATTGTGCTGGGAACCGTTTTTCGAATCATACGAAAATCGATGGATTAGTGGCGTCTTCATACAGAAAAAAAATGCAACATGAACACTGCACATGCACAAACGAAAATCTGTTCTGTCAATCGCCAAAACTCGGTCAGTTAGTATTGTTAAGGAACAATTATCGAAATCTACATAGGTCTGTGTATGATGGGGTATTCGAGCAGAAATCGAACAAAGGTTTGATGACGGGATGAAAGAAATCAAACGATAATTATAAGGTGTATGGCCAGCTTTAGAGATACCGTGAATGAGCTGAGGGTGTACACTGAATACACTGTACAAACATTGCTAGGAGAAAGAGGAACACATCAACTTTGCATGTTTCCTTTGCGAAAAACCTTACCAGCACTTCAGCACCTCCAGCATTTTCTTTTCTTTAGTATTTTAACGTCACTGCTTTAAGAAAATTGGCTAAACTAAAGATTCAATTTTAAAAACGAGCAATCACCTGACCTTAATCGCTGAATCATTCTTTAGAAATAAAAAGTACCAGCAGCAGAGGAGATTAGCTATCCAGGAAACCTATTACTTTGCCCTGGATGGGCATATCACAGGAGCATAGGGTATTTTCAGTGAGCACATATTTTTGGTTATGATCACGTACACATAGGGGGTTGATTTATAAACCCTTTCACACAAGATTCAGAAACGTTTACCCAAGATTCACACTTTTTTCTACTTCATTTCAATGAACTAATATCAATAGACCCCATAGGAACAAGATTTTCAAAACATTACCATGCATTGATAAATGTATTAACATCAAGCTGAAACATCTCTTTTCAAGTATATCTACAAAAATATTGAAAATATCATGCATTACCTTTTTTTACTTTTTGAGTTCAGTTCCACCTTAAAGATTTGCTATATTATAGGGAACATATAGAAATGTTAATTGTACCTATGCAATACCCTGAAAAATGTATGTTTTGTCTGAAATTCTTTATGGAAAATATTGTATTTGTATATGAGGGTGCCTTTGCATCCTTTTCTTATGGCCTCAGGGCTGCCTCTGACGGCTAGTATCCGGAGATATGGTGTGGGATTTGGTGATGTCACTACTAATTATTCTCCCTGCTGCGGGCTCTGACCTGAGGAAGTAAAGCCCTACCTCTACACAATGCAGAATAAGGCATGGTAAGTCAGTTATAGACAAAGGTCAGCTGAAGGGAGACCTTTGCCCTCTGCCTGCCTTTTTTTTTGCACACAGCTTCCAGAATTTAAATCCTCCTTAAATTGATTTAAAAAGGAAAAAACTATAGTATACATGTATGCTATAATTTGCATGGCTTGCAAACAGTTAATAGTGCACATGATAATATTTTTGACACAGAGTCATAGTGAGCTATGAGCTGAATTCTTCCGAATGGTTTAAATAAAATGCTGAAAACTGTAGCTGGCAGAAATATGTATGATGTTTCCAGCATTTAATATCAAGGCCACAAAAAAAGTATATTATTTGCAGTAAATGTTATTACATGAAAGCCTAATGTAATGATGAATAAGCATAATAGCATCCAATATGACCTTGCATTGTTTTCTTTTCCAGGACGTGGAATGGTGTCTTACCATGCACACCACGGTGCAGTCAAATTCCTTGTCATGGCAACTGCTGTGAACAAAAAACATAAGCGGACACCAAGCAGATGTAGCCAGACTTCAAATATGGAATCAAAACCCGAGGATCCTCGTTCACCTTAAAGATTTGCTATATTATAGGGAACATATAGAAATGTTAATTGTACCTATGCAGTACCCTGAAAAATGTATGTTTTGTCTGAAATTCTTTCTGGAAAATATTGTATTTGTATATGAGGGTGCCTTTGCATCCTTTTCTTATGGCCTCAGGGCTGCCTCTGACGGCTAGTATCCGGAGATATGGTGTGGGATTTGGTGATGTCACTACTAATTATTCTCCCTGCTGCGGGCTCTGACCTGAGGAAGTAAAGCCCTACCTCTACACAATGCAGAATAAGGCATGGTAAGTCAGTTATAGACAAAGGTCAGCTGAAGGGAGACCTTTGCCCTCTGCCTGCCTTTTTTTTTGCACACAGCTTCCAGAATTTAAATCCTCCTTAAATTGATTTAAAAAGGAAAAAACTATAGTATACATGTATGCTATAATTTGCATGGCTTGCAAACAGTTAATAGTGCACATGATAATATTTTTGACACAGTGTCAAAAATATAGTGACACATAGTGAGCTATGAGCTGAATTCTTCCGAATGGTTTAAATAAAATGCTGAAAACTGTAGCTGGCAGAAATATGTATGATGTTTCCAGCATTTAATATCAAGGCCACAAAAAAAAGTATATTATTTGCAGTAAATGTTATTACATGAAAGCCTAATGTAATGATGAATAAGCATAATAGCATCCAATATGACCTTGCATTGTTTTCTTTTCCAGGACGTGGAATGGTGTCTTACCATGCACACCACGGTGCAGTCAAATTCCTTGTCATGGCAACTGCTGTGAACAAAAAACATAAGCGGACACCAAGCAGATGTAGCCAGACTTCAAATATGGAATCAAAACCCGAGGATCCTCGTAGTGCCCATGTACAGCAACATGAAGAAAGAAACACAGCTTCTGCCAGCAATAACAATGACAGCGCCGTTTGGCTTGGTGGCTCCATGGGGTCCATTGCACAAAGAAGTGACTTGTCCTCTTCGTCAGGCTCTCTCACATTGTCTCATGGATCAAACTCATGTGACATGGGGAAGGATGATTGCACTCTGTATGATCTTCTAAGTGACCCAGGCATGCCACCACAACACAGCAAAAGACAGCGAGTCGGGAAGTTGAAGGCAGACTCCGTCTTGGTAATCTCTGGTGGACAGGGTCACCGAAGAGTAAACAAGAAGCTTAAGCCACAGCGACAGGAAGAGCCGGTTTCTTCTGCTATGGTTTGGCAGATCCCCCTGTTGCACATTTAACGACCCATGGGGTTAAAATTAATTTGTGCCTTTGTCCATAATGTATTCCACTACATTGTTATTCAAGCCTTGTTTTGTCATATTCAGTAAATCCTTTGTGATCGGTTACAAATAAGGCCCTATTAAACTGAAAACACAGGGACGGTACTTATTGAAACTGGTACATCTTAATCATGCACCTTTTCTCATCATGGTCCAGGAGAAATGTATGCTGCTGCCTTTGCATAACACTGAATACCATTGAGCGTTTTCTATGATTGCCTGTCTGGCATAATAGCTAACATCCATTAGTTGCTTTTTTTTTGCTTTGACTGGCATGATGAGCTGCAGGCCATGCTGTCTTTTCTTTGCAGGTAAAGTGAAAGACAAATATGAATGAATATACAATTAATATGAAACCTATTGGAATGTGATAAGCCATGTGTAACCATAAAGGACTTGATGAAGGCAAACTGCCTTCTCTTTGGTATTTCTTTAGTCAATGGATATCACTCGAGGGTCTTCCATTGTTCATTGCACAATGACTGCCAGTAATCATGTACAATAAGGTTTCCACTACAGTATATGATATGTTGGAATCTGTGCACATGCAAATTGTGTATTTCCTCAGCTGCACTAGTGTATATGTGCATGTTGGAAAGTCACAACTAATATGTCCGAGCTAATGATAACTGAAATTCTATATACTTAAACTGCCATATGATGGTTTCAAGACATATAAACAAACGAAAATATGAAATTGTACTTAAGTAAAAGGAATTCCTAGAAAATAAAAATGGTTTGGTCTCTTTTGTAAATTGGGCGTGTTATGATCATAAACTATTGTATCTTACAGGCAAAATGTTACATTGCAATTATCTCATACTGGACTTTTTTTTTAATTTGGTGACATCCATTTTAAAAATGCTTGAACACATAAAGTGATGCTGAGCCGCAGCTTTTTTTTTCCATAGTACTGAGACCGATGAGGTGGTTATGATAAAGGTAGACTCTACTACTTGGCAGTCACTTTTTTGGCAAGCCCTTTATGAATATCTCAAGAAGGTAAAATGATAAGGTGTAGTTCACCAGGAAGGGATTCTTATTTTTCTTGAGTAAAGTGGAAGTACACATTGAACTGGGAGTAAACACCGGTGTGCATGTGCCTGGAAGATGGAAAACATGAGCTGTGGGTGTTCCCTGAGGACAGATTTGAGAAACTCTATTGTAGATAATAAAAATTATTAAAGTAACAATACACATCTATGCCTTGAGAATTTAGCACAATAAAGGTACACCGTGGTTGTAAAAAAATATATTTTCTTTTTACCTCTATGTGTAAACTAGGGTTTTAAAGCAACAAATCTTCACCTAGATCATCATTTCACAGCGTTTTTTAAACTCTTTTATTTTATTAAAGGTTAAGTTTACCTTTTCTTCCATGATTCATGTTACACCCATATTTAGGCTGTAACATGAAACATGGTGACATCCCCACCCCTCACTCCCATTCTGTCCTTCCCCACTTACCTGGATCGCGGGGTTCTCCTCCCCGCAGGTTGATGTTATTTTTCAAATCTGACTCAGTCCATACGAGTGTGGTGACGCGACTGCACTTATAGTCCACTGACACTTCCTGCCGTCCATGTTGCTCAATGTCAGTACCTCGATACAGTCATTAGAGGGTAGAAATCACCAGCACTCAGTAAGTAAAGCTCAAAAAGTACTGTCCAATCAATTGGACCAAACGTCACAGATATCACGAAATCCAACGTTTCTGGACCACGCAGGGTCCCTTCATCAGTGCAGAGATGTGACATGATTTCTACCCTCTAATGACTGTTTAGCACGGCGTCATCCGTGATTGTCACTTCGAGCACGGTCGTTTGTTACTTGAACCGGGAGCACTGTAGGGAGTGCAGGGGGACTGTTCTCTGGAATCGTACCTCGATACAGACAGTGATGGCTGGAAGAGTCTGCAGGAGCCAGAGCATTGCACCCGTGATACACTGATCGCAGTTGCAATGCTTTATTGGCTCCAATACATTTCATAAAATAAAAAATGTGCATTTATTTAGTTATGAAATACCCATTTTTTTTTAAAAGAGGTGAACTTTACCTTTTAAGGTAAAAAATAAAACAAATAATAAGGCAAAGTTCACACTTTTCATGTTGTATGTTTTAGATGTGTTTTATTTTTACATTCATTCACTTTCCTATGAGAAGTGTGTTTTTCTGTAAAGGATTTTTAAAGAATCACAGTAAAACACAGAGGTGCATATGGAATAGGGCTTAGCTGATTCAGTTAGTGATGACACAGTTTTAACAAGCCATGTGTCCAATCTGATACACAACTGGCCAGATATGCGCATCACTATGTGTGTATACTTCCCAACACCACGCATGGGCATAGTATTTATATGTACATAGACACATTGATAAAGGATGTATATTTTAAACTTGTATTGTCAAAAAAAAAGCAGGTGCCTTGACCGACCCTCTAGCTTTAATGCATTCTGAGTCACTGATCCGGGACAAGTATGGAGGTAGAGAAAAAAGTAAACACCCTTATCCATTTAAGTAACACAAGTCTTTTCCCTCCTTCAGCCTGTGACTAGACAGTGAAAGTAGAAGTAGCAGACTGAAGAACTTCTCTGTCACTCTCTGCTCCTATCAATATGTCTCTTGTTAAAAGATGACCACTGCAGCACAGGTGACTGGATCTCAGTCTAAGGCCTTGTTCACACCATCCTCTGGCCCGATTGTAACTGGAACACACTGGATCACATTGCAGCCGGCTCAATTTGTTGTGGGGCGGAAGGGGCGTGGCGGTGCATTGAAGTAAATGGCACCAAAGCCATGCTCTCTGGCCGCAATGCGTTCAGCCGCACGGGAACGCAAGGCACATCAATGCGGCCGATCACATTGCAGCTGGAGGGCGTGGCTGTGGTGCCATTCACTTCAATGCACCGCCACCCCCCCTCCAGCCCCACAACATATTGAGCCAGCCGCAATGCGATCCAGTGTGTTCTTTCCACAATCGGGCCAGAACGCACTGAGGCTGGTGTGAACGAGGCCAAGTGCTGCAGTACAAAGGACACAAAAGGCTGATACTAGGTACAATTCAGATACTTATGCTACTTGTATTAAAAAATACATTTAATTCCATTATTGTAATTTGTAATCTATTAATGATTTCAGAGCTGCAGTCATTTGTGTCTTTTATATCTGCATGGAGTTAAGCCTTTAATGCATTCCATGCTTAGGCCCTCCAATATGAAGGTATCTCATAGAAATGAATAAAACAGTTGTCTGCAGCAGCCAGTCATATTGTTCCTTCTGTTTCCCTGCTACGGGTTCCAAAATGAAATAGGAAGTCATAAAAGTCACAAAATATGTGAATGATCTCTAATAGCCATATTTTGATCTTTAAGATGTAATTGAAATACTACAAATTGCATATAAAATGTAAAACAAATAATGAATGCCGAGGTCACCTACTAAGCAATATGTGGAGTAACACTAAGATATTGAATACGAAAATTGCTTTATACTTTTAGTGAGGATTCAGCCAGTCCACAATAAAAGTATAAAGCTATTTTTTGTACATATATAAAATGCTTGCATAATTGAAAAACATGAATGCAGTAAAGGTCAAATGAACTACAAAAATTGAAAACATAACTGTGGCATATTTAAAAGGGGAAGTTTCAAGGACGTACTGTAACTATGTCCATAGCAGACCAGGCAACTGCTATGGGGACCAGAAACACAAGGAGCCCAGAGTTGTTTGGCCACACAATAATTTATATAGGTAGGAACAGCACTCGCATACATTTAGATTAAAGTGGAAGTGAAGTAATTTAGAAAATGCTGACAGGTAGGGTTTTTAAGACAGAAGAGACTTGTGTGTCTCTTCTGTCATAATTGTTTCTTACTCTCTGTCAGTGTTTGTATACACTATGACATGTATGTGCAGCTCAGTACGCAGTCTCGGCAAGGTCCTGAACAGAGATAAAGTAACTCCCTTGTGCATTCACGGAAGTTACACGGTAAGTGCTAATATGCTGTGTACATTATGATAAACACCTCCTGGGGGGCCATACATTAACACATGTGGTGGCGGATCACTACTGTCTTAATTGAATAGTTTGAAATCCTCCATACTATTGCAATTAATATTATGCATTGCTTGAGGAATTGCCTTCTTAATGAAGATTAGAGAGACAGGAAGGACCATTCTAAGTTTTTTTGGGACCCCATTACACAGAGTTACAGTCCTGGATAGTTTAATACATTAAAAATGCATGTAATAGCTGTATTCAGACAATGAACTGCAGATCTTTTGTCTGTATTTATATAACCTCACTGCCACATCCCCAGCTTATTTACATAGCTTAGTTCTTTCAGTACTAGACTTCCTATAAAGACAAACATTATTTATAAAAGTCTGCAGCCCACCAAAGAAAAATATTTTAAAAACCTTTGTGTGCCTTATGCGTTTTATATGTTAAAGTCATTTAATGTACTGTTGTCTATTCTGCAATGTTATTTACAGATCAGCCAGATGGTTAGAAAAGAGGAATTCTGCTGTAATTACAGGTGTTACATTTCTGGTTACTTATGTTGAAGTGCACTGTTTAATGCCAGGGCTATAAAGTTACTCAGCATCAGTAGATCTCTCTATGCACATTCCTGGTTTTCGTATTGAATAAGCCAAAGTCCTGTAAACAAAAACAACCAGTCTTGTTAATCTTACTTCAATGATCTGCCTGCTGTAATTAAATATAAGTTAAGATGCTTGCTATGGAATACCTTGCACAATTGCTAAGGTTCAACAAATGTGTCCTAAGCACAGGATCATTTTCAACCCAAACTAGAAGATCTCATGAGATTACAGATTTCCTAGCAATGCTCTGCTGATGTAACATTCCCAAGATGCAATACTTGGGAACAGATTACATCATTTGTGCCAAAACTGGACCAGGAAGTAGATAAACTCTATTTGTAAATAAATGAAAAACAAGTTTGTTTAATGAATGTAAGATGATTTTAAATCAGCATGCAGAGTGATATGCTGATGTGATTTTTAGTGAAAGCGGGTAAAGGTCTGCTTTACTCCCGTAGCCACTTCCCATCAGTTGCAGTATTAGGGTAGCAATTGTTCCCTAGCTATAATTGTAATCATTTATTGATCATTCCATGGCTTTGGTGGTGGTGGTTTCTCTCCATGATTTATTTCTTTGTGTCTGTATTTGTGGTTGTGTCTGGCTGTTGTTGTGGCTGCTTCCTGGCTGACGTGGTGGTCAGTCTTTGGGTCTAGGGAAGTAATTTTCTGGTTTCAGTGTTGGTATATAATCTTCTGTGTTGAAAGGCGTGTAAATGGATTGATGCAGTCTGGCAGTGAGTAATCAAGAAGCAACTTCACATTGGTAATTTAAGTGCTAGCTTGATTTTTTACTTGCTGGAGGTGACCTGGAGCTTTTGTCAAAACCTGATAGCTTTCAGCTTTGAAGAAACATATAAAAGTATTGTGTTTACATCTTGTTCATATGACTAGCTCTATAAACTTTGGTTTAAGTGGAGGACAAAATTCTCAATAAACATATACTGTATAGTACTATTAAAAATTGGCTGCCTGTGTCTGGTAGCATGCCATTTCCCAAAGCATGCAGGAGGTGGTTATAGTTAAGGTAGAGGATTAGTCAAGGTTCAGGTTATCAAAACATGGGAACCTTGTAAAAAAAAAATACATACAT